AGAAACACTCTATGCATATTGCTCTGAAGGCAACGGAATTTGTGAATCCAGGTCAAATTGCAGTGCTTATGGGAGGCTGCCCTCTGTACGCCATGCAGAAAAGGTGTTAGTGGGTTTATCCAGATGAGGCTGATGAATCCAAGTTGATATGCTTTATGGGTTTGCTACATGTCGAGATAGCTCCATAAGAATGCGTGGGTATGTCATTTTCTGGATCTAGATGGGATCGGATGTTCTCTATAGTCTATAGCAAAAGTATCCACCTCTGGAATTGCAGCGTTGCTTCTTGGTGGAAAACATGTGAAGCGTACTAGGTATGCTTATCAACATACCCTTGCGTGTCCTAGAAGTTGAAACGTACAAAGTAAATAGTACTGTAAAGAAGTGTCTGACCGCATGAATCCATGGAGATCTGGGAAAAGTCACGTACTACAAAATAACAAGCCGTGCATCACTGGGTAATTGTAAGAGATTCTCTCCTGTTAATTTGTCGTTTCGTTTGAGGTCAGCGAGTGGGTATTGCCCGAAAACGAAAGTTTTTAGTCACGCAAACCATTCACATTGGCTGCCGGTTCTTTTGAATGACATATCACGTTTACAACATACCCATCCATGTGTCCATGAAACATTTATGAAAGAGCAGTTTGTCGTTCAACGAAGTGAAAAAAAATTTCCCCTTGTGGCACTGGATCATCATCAGAGTCACGAGCATATTATCCAATTCTTAAAGCAGGATAGTACCCTATACCCAAGGGTCTGTATCGTCAGAAAGAGAAGGAGGTCATCGGACCACCAATATCAGGAATCTTCTACTGCCGAACAGATAACATTTCTTGAACACCTGAAAGCCCTTCTTAATGTAGTACAGAATGGCACAATAATTGTACATCTAATTGAACAGACAGGTATGAAACTCGTCATATTGGATACTGGTGAGGTCATAGGGCTTATTCTTGCTAGGTGTTTGAAATGAGGTGAGGAGATGGGCGGAACCATGTACTAATAAGGACTTTGTGACGGATAGAATTCAAAGTGATACTCAGACACAATTTCAAGGTCCACCATATACACGTTCAATAACCGGCCACCTGCAAATCTTAACAAGGGGTCCAATAAGTTGGGAACGACGAAGGCAAATGCAGCGCTCATGACGAAGCTATTTCTAACTTTGGAAGCACGAACACAGGTTGACATAGATGACTTCTTCAAACACGAGAACCAGCAGCGTAACCCACCTTCATCATCTAATGCGGGAAAACTACTAAGAGATCCACTCTTCTTGATTGTCTTCCTGGAATGGCTGGCCCAGGACGCTCTCAATCATCCAAGGAGGCATCAGTTTTTGTACTGGATATGCCGGCAGTTATTATTATTATAAAACCACAGCGTTCCACAGTTTCAGGGGAATATACGAATATGTCCCTACTGCCATTAATAGAAAGCAAAACTACTAGTAGTTGGAGGACATATATCACGATGGCCGTCTAAATCACAGACCCGGGACCAACGAGGTGATACCTCAGGGCATCGAAAAAGGCCTATACCAAATGGTTTAGCATGGGTGAGACTCCAACAATATAGACCCTTTCAACTTCCTCAGCGAGAAATTGGCTGAAATTACTACTAGAGATTCGTATCAAATGTTCACCACAAAGGGTAATCGAGTGATATATTAACCATGTCTCAAAGCAAGAAAGAAGAACCAGACACCAGAATGACGTTGCACTTGCAACACGCTGCTGAGCAAGAACATGCCAAAGCGTACCTCATCGCAGGGGACGCAAACGTGGTTGTTCTGGCCATCTATCACTTCAAACGGTTGAATATGGCAGAGATATGTATAGATTTTAGAGCGGGAAATACATTTGAAGGGATTCCAATCCATCATATCTGTCAGCAGATTGAACCTGAATGCTCAGACGACCTTCTCTTTTCTCATGCATTTACGGGATGTGATGCAACATCATCGATGTTTCCAATAGGTAAAAAGATGGCATGTAATGCATGGACTGCTTATTCTGAGGCAGCACGTATCTCATCTTGAACGCTTTACAGTTCTGACGTACAGTATAAACTGTGGGGCGGATTCAGTCGATAGATTAATTTTCCTTTTCAGTTGAAGTACCTACTATTGGTACTACAAGATAAAGCTGAGGGTAAAATAAATTAAATCCAGGATTTGTCAAAATTCTCGAGATGTTTAATTAAAACTTTTTAAATGAATTTTAATTTATCCAGATTTCTATCGTGAAATTTCAACCTTACAGCACTCGCCTTGCTTGAGAAGATAATGAGGGAGTCAAACAATAAATGGGTATACAGGGATCTTATTGAATTCGGTAGTGTTGATAGGGATGGACACACAAATTTTGTTTTTACCGACTCCATTTAGAGCAAATGGTCCAATAATTCCACACTAACAATTTATTCCGTAAACCAAAGCAGCAATACCTATTTAATAGCCAAAGCTTGGAATTGACTCATCTCAGAAAAACGTGGCACCCAATCACAAAATGGAGGCTCACAATAGGTAAAAAAATTTAAATATTAATATTTATATTTCAAAGGTAGATAAGATAAGATATAAGGTAATAAAACTCAACAATGATAGTGAACACTGATAGTGAAATAAATTGAAAAGATATTAGGGAAAGTCTATAAATCTGAAGGAAAAAAAAAATAGAAAAATGAAAATCGACTTGCCTTCTCAGCCACTGCCAAAAAAGAGATCGTTTTAGAGCCAAAACCCTGCAGGAAAATGAGTTTCGTCTTTTTTATACTTGACTGCGTAGTAACCATATCGAACCAATCACAAGACAGCACTCAACACACACAAAAGACCGTATTCACTTCATCCATGAAACACCACGTTGATTGAAGGGAATAGATAAAAACACACTAGAATTGTTTTAATTGTTTACAAATTACAATAATTTAAATTAAGGTTATGTTGAAAACACAAAACCACTAATTAATTAGGACATCAAGCCAAATATAATGATTTCAGAATCAGAAGCTAGAGAAAGACAGAAATATATATATTCGCTAAAAGCAGGATAGACATAATTCCTTCAAATGAAAGTATCAATGGGGACCAATAATTTATTTATTATGGATGGATAGCTATGAATTATTATTTTGCTGATCCAGAAATGGAGAAAATACAACTTTATAATGAAAATTAGAAGAAATGGAACATGTCACGAAAATGATAAATTTATAAGTAACATACCCAAGGCCTAAAGGCTCTTGAATCTATAGGGCTGTTCATTTGTACCTACTTGCTACCTGCTCGAAAAAGTAGGAAGATCTGCTAGAGGGGCTGCTATTTATGAGCTTATTATATGGGAGTTATAGGACAGGTGAACGCCGATCAGCTGCTGAGATCGGATTGAAGCAAGAAAAGCTATACAAATGAACAGCCTAAACCCCACCATCAAAACATACTTTATTTCAGCATAGAAAGCGAGCGCTGCTCACTACCGCATTCATTTGGAAGATGTCTCTTTCCAAATCGCCTGATATCCCTGAACACAATAAAAGTTCACTAATATCTAACCTAGTTATCAAGGGTGTGAAATGAACTAAACTATCCTCTATTAATGCAATAATAAAATAATTGAGTAATCACTCCTATCTTAACCTACCTGTATCTTAATTATAACTAAGCATAAGACTATCTTACAGTTAACATTTCACCCAAGTAATAAACCTTGATAATTATATTGTTATACAATTGGTTATTGTATCTTAAAAATCCAGCTCATGTAATTATTGCATCGCTACACACACATATGCTTCGAATATATATTTGATTGTTCCTGGGGGGCAGTAGCACTAACTGACACTGGATTCAATTCAATCTTCTGGTCTTCTTCGTCAGGATCTCTTCTTTGGTTGGCTAACTAATACAAATATGTATGGGCTAAAGTATTCCACAGACTAGCTAAAAGATATCGTCGCCGTCGTGGATGGTTAACTGGTGCTTCTTTGATGGTGAAATAGTTTGATACGACACCGGCCAAATAACTAACTGCGCAAACTATGGTGTACAGGAACCGACATATGGAAAATAAATTTCCCATTCTGGATGAAAATCCCAACACTTCCTCGGCAGCGGAATGTGCTATATTTGTAAATTTGGTTTTACTAAACAGATTTACCATGTAATAAGGGTCTGAGCTATCGAGGGCTATGATCCTTCGGGCTACTTGATTGGTTACTGCTTTTCCGGTATTTGGATATAAGGGAGTTTGCTGAAAACTTTCCATGTCTTATTTTCCAACTTAAAATACACTGGAAGCAGTGGTTGACATTCTACTTTGGTTCCATGTTCAACTAGGATATTTGTAATAGCAGTTCTGTATAATGATCTGTTCAGGTAGATCACGGGAAGTTCTTGATAACATTCTGAAGTCTTTCGATAGTCTACGACAACAGCTTTGCATTAAGCAATATAGAGTACTTCTCCCATCACTCTACTAACATATCCTGATGTTTCTTTTACCAGATTACCCACGGCGTCGGGCGATTGTTTTGCCATTGCCAATCTGTTTTGTAAAATCTTCTCTCTTAAATGGCATATCTTCATAATGGAGTCGTAGATGACATCAGCCATTTGTCTTTTTACTGCAATCTCCAAATACAAAAGTTTACTTAGTACTTGAGCCATCATGTCTGTATTTTGAAGAATTCGAATGGTACGAAGGTAATAGAATCCAACCGAATCCTCAAAATTTACAAGTAAACGGTTTTGTTCAGTTGGCCAAGCCTTTTGAGCACAAATTTCTTCTGGTTTAGTCAGTTTTAAAGCGAAAACTGCATCTTCGGTTTCCACAACGACGTATCTATCAGGAAAGTAGCGTTTCCTTCGTATAGTACGTCGACACTACTTGTAGAGCATAAACTGGATAGATGTTGTTGTTATGTAACTTCGCCTTCAACATCATCAAAACAATAACCATCATTGTAGGTACAGACACCACCAGACCGTAGAGTAACTAGATTTCGTTCGACATCGGCGACCGTAACATAATCTTGGAGTTTAATGGATATTGCTGCAGTAACCACCACATTAGCATATTGGAACCCACGGCGAATCTTACATCTTCGCATCGACAATTGGCGTCGGCAAAAAAAAGAGTTGCTGAAACTTCTGTGGTTCCATTCAGAAAAACTTTGGAAATAACACCAGCTCCCATTCCTTTGAGATCTAACTGACGGAATCGGTGAGCCTTCAGACATTGTTGTAGTTCTATATGCTGAATATATTTTCCAAGGCCTTCGGCTACGGTACTGCGATGACTATGCATGCCGCAATGGTCAATTAGTTGTTGGACAGTCACTTGACAGGTGAGTATGTGAATTGGTACATATTGGCTTTTCTGTACCAGCTGGATTCGTCTGAAATTCGACTCGGAGAAATTACGAGGGTCTTGGCATGGTTTTACTGCCATCAAAGACACTTTTGTCAATTCGGTTGGCGTAATCATAAGCAATGATCTCTGGGCGTGCTATCCTCAGGTGGTAGAGAAAAATCAAAACAAATTAAATGGTTTTCATGTTTCCTTTCTTTCAAATGTAAAATATTCAACAAAAATTATACGGTTCCTCGATACAAACTCTCTCTCTAGTTGGTTACTTTCTGAATTTTCGGACATTGTTGTTTTTACTTTCTACTAAAAAATAAAAAGTTGAGCAATATAGAATCTTTTGGTTAAGTTTCTCGACGATAATACAAAAGGATTGGTTTGGGATTTGCTCACACGGGCACACACACAAAACTAAAACTAATATTTAAATTGCTTCAGGCTTCTTTAACCTGGCCTATACCTCCGATAATACGTCTTCAAAAACTTGGTTACTATTTCTCTAAGTGGGATAGACAACTTAACTTCATACGCCAAACTCGAAGGCTGATTTTGTTCGTCCTCTATCGCTAGACCTACTCAAACGCAGGGTTACAGTTATAATAATCTTGAAACTATAAAATTCGATACTTTTCTGGCTTTGAAGTGATTTTTACCCTCGAACAGATTAGGCCGTTCGCAGAACTCCATGTGTTTGTAAATTTCATTAGGGTCACATTTTAGCTATCTATAAAAATAAAACTTTTCCCACGAAAGATGAACTTGAACCGAGAATATGAATTTGCTATTGATTTTGTGACAATGGTAGTCAGAGGCAGGCATCGAGAACATATTTCAGAAGAGCTCAAAAAGCACTGAACATAGTAGATAGCTCCGCAAAAAACCGTAATTGTCTCGTTCACAAAGAAAAGAGTACTAAGGGGACTTCGATCTCCTAAGCTTAATGGATCGGAAATCCCCTTCTCAAAAGAGATCAAATATCTAGGAGTCATTTTTACCAAAAGATGACCTGGGGTCCACACTTCAATAAAGTTGTCCAGAAGGCTAGAATTTCCCTGGGGAGATGCAGAAGGCTTTGTGGAAAAAGATGGGGACTAAAACCAAAGATGAATTCATGGGTATACAAAATGGTGATAAGACCAATTATAACCTACGGTTCGGTTGCCTGGGGTACAAAGGTAACACAGACCGTAGCAATTAGACAGCTTCAAAGTGTGCAAATGCTAGCCTGCGTATGCATCATGGGGCCATGAAAACAGCACTAACCGCAGCCTTGGAGGTGCTGCTAAACCTGCCACCACGACATATCTACATACAGGGTGAAGTAAAGGCGGTACTATACAGACTGAAGCAAAGCCAGGGTCCAATTATACAACACCAAATGCCAATGAGCTGGAAAATAGAGGAGGATCCAGAGGTCAGCTCATTGTTCAAGATGCCCTCGGACAAAACAACACCTATTTTCATCTTTAGCAGGCACTTCCGGGTTGCCATACCAGAGAGGGAAGACTGGAAGAGAGGTCCTCCAATTAAAGTAGATCACATCTGGTACCTGACTCCAAGTCCAGCAAGGGGGTCGGAGCCGGCATCTAAAGGGACAGACCTAGGATGGAAATATCCATAAGTCTCGAACAGTACGTCACGGTGTTTCAGGCGGAAATCGCTGCAATAATGCACTGTGCCATACTGATAAATCGAAGGAAAGTTGAGAGTGAAAATATCGTTATTTACTCGGACAGCCAGGCGGCTCTAAAGACAATCAGCTCCCGAAAGATCAGCTCCAAGCTAATTGGGCATTGTATACGCGCCCTAGAGGAGGTGGGCCTGTTCAACAAACTTACCATAGCCTTGGTACCAAGCCACGAGGGCCACCCAGGAAATGAAAAGGCTGATGATTTAGCCAAAGGAGGCTCGGCCACTGAAATGATAGGCTCCGAACCATTCTGCGGAATTTCTCTAGGCAGTTTTAAAACATTTATCAAGAACTGAATAGAGATTTTCAGAGCTGGTGGCAGCAACACCAGGACAACGACAAGTAAAGCAGTTCATTAAATCCTGCTCGCCCAAGGAGGCGGAAGAAACTGCCGTACATGTCATGCATGATGTCATTGCAAAGCGCTATGCAGGCTCAGGTTTACGAGGCTTGGCGAGGAAAAGCCCAGTCCGGCAAGCTACTTGGGGTGGCCAGTATCATGGCTTTGGAGTGTAATAAAAAAGACGGGTAGAGAACGCATTCTAAGGACAGATAAGAAATATAGCAATAAATCTGACAAGGTTGCAGTGGTAGAGGACGCCTCCGCGCCATCTCCATTCTACAAGTTGCTTGCGATAGTTTCCTGAAACCTCAAGACCATATCCGACTATACCAAATTTGAAATACTTGGCACAAAGGGCACGATTCTTATGAATTCCCCCTATGCTATTAATAATAAACAATGAAAATAATGTTCGAAGTTAACACAGACAAGAAACTATTCGAAAAAATTCAGGAATTTTCAAATTATATGCCGAAAATTATATGATTGATTAACTTTATCATAATTAATATTCAATAATTAATTTGCCGTCATTTGAAATTGATGTTGTTCATAAAAGTTGCGGCCTCTCTATTTACAAAATTCGTTCGAAGATAGGTCTATTATAGTGGTCTACTAATTTTCGATTCAATTTATACGATCGTCTATCGTGATATTGCGGTCCGAGTGTTGCCAATACTAATTAAACATGGCCTTGTTTGTGGTTTCGAGGGAGAGTCTGATACCTTTAGGCTTTGCTACTAATTAAGCTGGGATTTTTAAAACAAACGCAAATGTAATTATTGCAGCGGAAAACAACTAGTATAAACAAAAATAATTTCTTGGAAATTTGTTTTTAAAAGCAGTACCTACGCCAAATTATAGTAAGCTCACGCAAAATGAAACAAATCAACTAGAATTGTTTTTCAGTTGATAATTATGAAATTCCACTAAATCTTCTATAAATTTGATAACAAAATCGTTATTTTGCATGAAAATTTTCAAAACGAAGCTTAGGAAATATGAACTGGGCTTTATTCTACGCGTGGATCAATAATGACCTTCCGTTACATAACAGCTAATCTAAGGTTTAAAGTTATGTTTAAATAACTTTAGGTTATCACTATAGAGGAACCTAAGGTCAGAACATGTGTATTTATGAGGTGTGATAAAATTTCAAATATATTTGCCCAATTTTTTTGCCTTTGGAAACTAATTTCCACTAAATCCCCAATCTTGTCGCTATAATTAAAATATTTTCCTAGATAATTAATACCTCAAAATCACGTGGCCAAGCAATTTTCTGTTTTTTATTCCTATTTGTTTTCGTTGGTCTGCTTCGAGCCACGAATACGTTTTGTTCTCCTGAAATTCAATTTCCAGCTTAGAAATTCTTTTATAAACCGGGCAAGCTGAGCGCCGCTCGTTATTGGAAAAAGGTTTATTATGGGAATAAAGTAGGTATAGTCATAGAGTCAAACAAACAGTTTTACATGGCATGAAATTTGTCTGTGTATTTTGTAGCTAATTTTTTCCTAATTTTAAAATATTCCATTCATTTAATCAGTAGAACTAAAATTTATTCGTGAAAGCCAAAAAATACAAATCCGGCTTAACCGATGTAACCCTAAACTGGGAAGTTTTATATATGGAATAACTTTTAGGCAACGGGCTATTAAGTATAAAATTTATCGGCTTCGTCAGCATATTCTCGAAGCTTGTTCTGAAACAAGTTCCCAATTAATTGATCCTGCCTGGTAAGTTTCGAACGCAAATTTATTTGTGCACTCGTTCCAGCCTCTCTATGCCGCCTCTCCCAGACCCCGCAATGAATTGCAAATTCTAATTGACCCTCATATCGTATGCGCAAATTGCTTCTGTCTGGTAATTGATTTATTTATTCGATGATTTTACGTAAAAAAGTCGAATTACTGTTAAATATTTATTAGGATCGTTAAGAGGTTCAATTTAGAGGAGCGCGAATCGTTTGACTTTGAATTAATGTAAAGTTTTTATTATCCTCAGGAAATTTGTCAGCAAAATGTAGATGAGAAGTAAACTATTTCCATGTTGAGTTTTATTTCTGATAAAAATATCAATATGGTTCCATCATCATCACCCACTGCCGGATAGAGTCCTCCTCCTGTTTTGAGCATTTGCAACCTAATTTGTATTTATTCTTTTTAGATCATGTAGTGGGAGGTCTTTCTTGGTACAGTTTATATGTGATACAAGAGGCTTAAGCGTAATTCATATAGACGCGAGTCACAAATTACGAATGCAAATTTCGTTGTTGAAAAATCGGCGTTTTCAGCGGTTTCGTAGAGATACGAACTTCGCAATCATTTTAGGAATATTTGCTTGATTTTTCGGTGCCACACTAGACTGGTGGCACTACTATATTTAAATGTTTTCTTTGGTTTCATTCTTGATTAACTGTTTTTATTTGCAATCATATATGTAATCTTGTCATTACTGACTTTTTAAAAATTTGGAAGTGACACTTTACCTGTGTCACTTCCCTCTTCGATTTCCCTCATCGATTTCCCTATTCGACTTCCCTCGCCGATTTCCCTCACTCTAATTTATTTATCTTTGCTGGCAACAATGAGAACATGTCGGGTAAAAACGTCAAAGCAGTGAATGACACATTTTGGCATGTTTGTTTTATTTTTTTAATATTAAAAAAATTGATTGACTAATCATAATTAATTGTCTGCTTGCAAATAAAATAGTATACAAACCTCAGAGGAAAGTTTTCATTTCTGTCTCGAGATTATAATAGACTATATAAATCTCTCGACAGTAATGAAACACTTCCCTACTCGGTATGTAATATACTATTGTTGTTTCTTATTGTGTTTCTGGAAATTCGCAAGAAAGAAATTTAGGTGTCTACCCGAAAACAGCAAGGTGCATATCATAATTTAGTCCAAAAAATGAGACTTTGAAAAATAAAATAAAAATTAAACTACAATGGAAAATATTGCAATAAACATAATAAATAAAACACAAATTATATTTTTCGTTCAGTTAATCTCGTTTTTAAAAACTATTTATTTTATTTAAAACTAAGAAGTTACAGTGGTTCCCAAACTGGGAGAGCGC